GGGCTAGACATGCAAAAGCAGTTATGGTTCACAACCATGAAAATTTGTAGAAATGCAGTTCGATGCTTGTAATGTAATGTACAGTATTATTTATTACGCAACATTTTACAGAGTTACATACAGTTTAAATGTGTATATTTGTATATAATAAGTATCATGTATAATACAAGCTATTTCTCCAACAAAATAATGCATAAATGGTCTGTACAATATGATTCTTTAAAACTAAGGGGCTGCGTCAGACGTCGTAGAATTTGATCATGAATGACTACATTGCTCATGCGAGTGACATACAGAGCCATACTTTATATTTTATTTCTAAGGTATAAATAACGTGTTCCACGTACAACATATATGGATGAGCCTGCTTAATGTTTGATTTGTCATTGTTGTCGTTCCTACTCTGTTGTGTTCAGGGATACAGCTTGATGAAAAAAGTTGAACTTGAAAACCGGTTGAAAGATGCTGCTGATAATTTGTTGAATGCATCTACTGAGTTGTCAGACACCGTGTATTCAGAGGCCAGTAAAAGTCTTATGATAAGCGAAATGCGTCTTTTGTCTTATTCGCAGGAACTGGAAAAGCAGGCGGCGAATAAATCAAAGTAAATTTTATGCTTTATTCACTGATTTTCATTTGTTCATGTTTCTTTTAGACCTAAGAAACACCCTCCTGTGGCTGGACCGTCCACTGCGAAACTCATTTTGCAAAGTAAGTATGTTTCGTTTTATCGAAAACGATTGCCAGGAATGTTTTCCTTAGAAACCTTCGGTTTTATTTGGTTTTAGGCCGATATTTATGGGTTACATGACTCATCTTCATCTGATTTCATTGGTAGCCGGAGGAAGATGGCAAAAAGTTCTTTATTGTATACAGTTTCTTTCTTCTTTGCTGCTAACAGTGGTATCGGAACACGTATTTTTTTCTAGTCATGAACGACGTTAGTTTAAGAAGTGTGATGACAATGGTCTCCAATGTTTTCATGTTTTTGAATAGTCAATTTCATTGTCCTAAAATGATTTGTTTTTCACATAAACTTGGCTGTCGCCTGCCTGCTGTGATTTCTTCGGTAGTTAGGCACTCGTAGTTGTCTTTATCGCAAGGAGAATATATTCTCTCCTTAATTCGCCTTGTATTGCATCCAAATATTTGTCTTCTGGGGGGGGGGTTGCCAAGAGCAATCCACGTCTTTAAATTTCCTTCAGAAGTTGTGTGCTTACCTGTTGCAGCGAAACGTATCTTATCAATAATTATGATTGTATTTAGATGTTCGCATACCGCTGAAACTGTGTAAGAATGACCGGCATTCTAAAGGTACTTTAATTTTAATTATTAATTACTTATTTGTTAATTAATGAAATAAACCAATAAAAAGCTTAACATGAAACTGGCAGAACATTAAAATGGTACTTTTATTACTCTGATAATGTTTATTTCTATTTATTTACACTTTTTCAAATGAAAGTTTTCTCATTCTTAATTTGTGCCTCATTTAGAGTCGGAAAAATTTGACATATTCGTTGTCGCCCAGATCGACAGCGAGATCTGTGATACGAGTCTTGTGTCGGACATCGGACCGTCGTCGACCGATGTCTGTTTCCCGG